TGACAAGAGGGGATGACAGAGAATGTGTGGATCAACGCTCTGACATCATTCTATGCCCTTGAAATTCATAATATCATCATCAAAGAAAGAAAGAAAGAAAGTAGAGAGAGAGAGAGAGAGAGCTGTGTGATGTATACCTGCAGGCCTGCAGAGCTACCTCTGAATATTTCCATTTTATTTGAATTCTCACTAAGGGATTTTCAGCCAGCTTTGTGTGTTTGTTTGTTTGTTTGTCAGTTAGAGTGTTTGTATCATGGGAATATGCATGACATTGAATGTGGCCCAGTGAAAGTGAGGAGAGTGGAATGGTCTCATATCCAGACTCTATTTATATTCAACTTTTCATTCAATTTTTTTTAGTCAGGATACTTGATGAAAGGCATTAGTAAGATAAGAAAATAAGAAAGGGCAATAGACAAAATAAAGCAATAGGTCCTAATGAGGAAGGTTACAGAAAAGCTGGTTGTTATTATTTAAATTCCCAGGTTTTTATATTAAGTAATTAAGTGAATTAGATATATAAAGTTTATATAAGATATAAAGCAGAGCAATATTGTTTCAATGATACAAATACCTACTTCAAATAAAATATGCATAAGATTGTTTTGGTCTTTAATGCACCATATCTATTTTGATCTATCCATGAGTTCTCACATATTACACGACAGGAATCATTTTTATTAGTTTTGTTTTGTTTTGTTTGTTTGATCTTCTTGATTCCAAAGTAATGCTTTTTTCCAGACTAATTTTTGGCTTTGATGAGAATAGTTTGAAATGGTTGTTGTGTTAAGGATGAGGGAGGGTGGGTTTGTATAGTGAAAGTAAAGATGATCTGATCTGTTGAGATCCTCTTCTTCCAAATCAGATAAGAGAAAAGAAACCGATTCATATCTTTCAAAAATAGATAACATAGCAACATGACCAACTATGATATCATGTTTATTTTATTTTATATTAATAGTAAACAAAAAAGCAGATCATTTTATTTTAGGGTTCACTCTAGGATTCATTCTCTAGGATGGGTCAGATATAGTTCAAGTAGCCAGCATTTAAGAGAGATAGAAACGATCTTGAGAGAAAGAACTGAAGCTCATCAAAAGTCAATCTAGAAGCAATGGTTGTTGCAGGAAACCTGGCAGATATTCTACCAATATTGCCTGCTTAATTTGAGGAATATCTTTTTTTCCATTTATTGAGAAATTGTCTGTGATTAGCTCTGAAGGGCTCAGCGGATGAGTAAGTATTTGTGGTCAACCTTTTTCCCCTCTATTTTACATCCACTTTCTTTTCATTATAACGGTTAAAATAAATTTGAACAAAATTTGCATTTTTAAGAATTTCCTGTTTGCTAATGAAGATTTTAATGAACATTGGAAAGTTATCTGAATTGGACTTTAGACTGATAGATATTGTTCAGTTGTCGCGTTCTATAATAATTTTATTCATTGACTAGAATTGATTATCTTTATTTTAAAAAAATGTGCTTTACCTTTGCTATCCTACTTGTAGAATAGTTTTGTTGACATTGTAATGTATATTTATTTGTGATGTCAGAGAGCAAGCCCTGAAAATGAGAAAAAGCATTTTCTTTTCTGATACCATTGTTATTGAATACATTGATGGAAGAGAAGCTCCCCTGAAACCCTGTGGCATTTCACATTGTGCTCCTCAACCAGAGAAAAAAAAAATCATGCAAAATTTTCGGCTTGCAGAAACACAATTAGTAAGATGATAACTTTCCAAAACAGCGCAACTTAGCAGTTGGTTTAGCAAACAGTGTTTCTTCTCACTTTCCCAGAATATGCAGGCAAAATCCATAGAAATGCCTGCGCGACGCTAAAACACTGTTGAAAATTTGATCCGTGCAACCTATCAAATTCTGACATTTGCATATCTTATCAATTTCCCAGGGTTGTGGTTTATTGACAAGTGTAAATTAATTCTAAAAACACATATGTATTATTCAGTTTTGAACAGAGAAAAGGGGCTTGCATTAATCTTTCACAAGTCTTTTTTCTGTTTTGTTGTTACTGGTTCATTATACTTGCAAATGAATTACACTCACTCATCTTATACTCCATTAGTTAAGGTCATTTGCATTTTTCTCATCTCCATTAGTGCGCTGTAAAGTGCTTTCATGTATTACCTTGTTTTTTCTCACTTTGTTCCTTTGTTTTTGCTTGAGTGGAAAGCAATTCATCAAACAAATTATGAATATTAATGAGAAAACAATTTCAGACCGGCAGTACATGTGGCGATGTGCGGTAATGGACAGTCTCGGCTTATCTCCGCTCTTAATTCATTTTGCTGTGTAATTGCCTGCTTGTTGGTCCTTTCCAATGTTTATATTATCAGTTGTGATTATTATCAACACTTTATGCAGCAAAGCCTCATGAAAAAAGATGAGCTTTTGAGAAGGAATGCCATCAATTAATGCAGTGCCACCAGAACGTACGTTGTCGCTGATCCAATGACGCTTATCACAATAGTTGGTCAGGCTAGCTCAAATCATTGTCAAAGCAGGGTTTCTCTTTATTTCATTGTCTCCTGAATGATAGGCATCAGTAATTTGTCCTTGTATTCGTGTGAAGCTAGCCTTGGCTCTTGTATGGGTATTCGTCTGTGCTTTAAACTTCAGAACGGAGCTTGGGCCAGATATTTGGGTAAAAATGAACTTGATCCTTGCCACCATGCATGGTCTTCTAGAACTGGAACTTCTTGAGATAGATTATAGAAAAAGGGGTTGAATCCCTTTGATGGTTTAATAGTTGATTATTATTTTACCTGACTGCCAAGAAAGCACAAATATGCTTGCACATGTAAGTAAGCCCTGGACCAATGACTTTAAGTCCTCTCCAAGGGACTGGGCAATGAGGATTAATGCCTTACCAAAGGGCACGAGCGCATTGACTTGGTTTTGAACCCGGGACCTCTTGGTGACGAGACCACTGCTCTACCACTGAGCCACCGCGCCTCCTTTCTGCATTATGGATGATCATGGATATGTAGCAGTGTGTGCGTTAAAAGCTTAGACAGGTCGTTGGATGTAGTCGAGAGGTCAGCAGTCTTATATCACTGATTCTAATCTCTGATAAAACGAGTCCCGCTTAATGTCGTACATAATTCATACATTCTTTCTATACCGTTTGTCTGTGTCAGTGGGGAACACTTGTATTGCAAATCAGCAGACAAGTAGCCATTTGTGATGAAATATTAATCAATGTATATTTTGTCCTGCTGAAGGTAAATAAATATTTGTTTTATATATTGATTTTGAAATGTACAATGTATCTTGAGACAGAATGCTATAGAATATAAGCCGAATGAGTGAATTAAAACTTGAGAAAGTTGTAATTGAAATGGTTATTGAATCTATATTCTTGTGAAAGCCTAAACTTGAGTTTGAGCTGATAGTGTGAAGAGTCTTCTTGAAGCCTTTGACATTGCCCCACTAACCTTTGTTGAGCCGGATGTGATGCAAACCTTCTTCACACCTCTCCCGTCTTGTAAAGATTAATTCATTGTAGATTGTAGGGCAGGTGCAGTACTGTGTGCTAGTCCTGATGGAAAGCATGATACACACACACAGACGGACACACAAACATACAAACATACAGAATATGAGAGAAAAGAAAGGGACAGGTACAGAGAGGGAGGTAGAACAAGATAATCGATAGAAAAGGAGAAAGTGGAGAGAGAGAGAGAGAGAGAGAGAGAGAGAGAGAGAGAGAGAGGGGGGGGGGGGGGAGAGGGGGAGGATGTTAAAAAAAAAAAGTGAAGATAATTGTTCATTGGAATTGAATTGAATATAGAAATATGAAGATGCAAAAAGTGACACTGAGTTGATGTATACCTAGATTCAAAGAGACAGAGGTAGAAAGAGATAGCAAGAGAATGAGAAAGATGAAGAGATAGAGGAAGATGAAGAGACAGTAAGATGTGTCATCTCATAAATGGTTTAATTATCCATAGCAGATATTTATCTTTATTCCTGTACAGAGATACAATGCATACACACATGATATAAGTTTATATTATTAATTATCTTACTAAGCCATGAATTATAAAATACCAAACCAAGATCAGAAATATCAATATGTTTACAATGAATGTGGTTACTGTTGGTAATATTACTATATTTGTACGGGTATGATAAGATGTTTGTTGTAGAATTCAAGGCTATTGGTTTCTAATTTTTAGAGATATATCTAGTGAGCAATTATATGGTTATTCTACACTTTTGCTTCTTAATAGGATTAGCGGAGTTTGTTTCTAAGCAGACATATTTTACTTTTGAGGAAATGAAACAGTAAGTCAAGGGAATGAATTGATATAGGTCATGGCTCTCTGCAAAGGAAGACATGAGCCTCATATCATAGCCATAATTATATCAAAATATTTCTATTATTTCTGCATATCCTTCCCTCATACATGTTGTACTCAGTCTTAATATGGTGATAGTTTTTCTGCACGAAAGTTTGACTTATATATTTTTCTATGGCTTCACTTGTTCATCAGTGAATAAGAAGACTATGTCTTGAATAAGAGGGCAGGTAGATATCATTAAAGGTAAAGACTAGTATTGGCAACGCCCCAATTTCAAAAAATGAAATGGAAGCTCTCATTACCAATCATGTGAAAGAATATGTTTTGACTAATACATGATGATAAAAAATTTGCCGGGAAACCGCCTACTAATTCATATATTTGGTAAATTTATTTCTCTCATGGTCTGGTGAGAGAGATAGGGTAGTCCCATAAACATCTTTCTGTGTATAGTGCTTGTAACTTTACGAAGAATGGGCCAAATTTCTTATCATTTTGATGATTCCAGAACCTTGCAGATGCTAGATGCTAGATGATCAACCTTTTCTGATCGATTCCACAACGTTTCTTTCACAATGCAATCGCATGACCATTACTGGTCTTTACCTTTAAACACTCAAGATGTTTAAAATTTGGTTGTTTAATATTCTGTTTTGATCTCTTTCTTCATTTAGATTGGACTTATGCAACCTGTATCACTTTTAATATCAAGAAGCAAGAACTCTGACTGATATTCACCCTGAAAATCTTCAAGTCTCCTTTACAGGTAAAACTAATATGATTATATTTTCTTCTGTTATAGTTATACATGTATCTTTAAGTTTGATCTCGTGCTGAACTTTTCTTTTACATCAATATGATATAGTCTATTCAAAACAAGAATGAATTTCAATTAAGTTAGGTTGATAGATATCAGTGTTTTATTCCTGAGGTATTCCTGAGGCAGTTATGATAAAATATTTCAAACATTGAAATATAATAATTAGTATAAAAGATCAGCCAGCCTCTCCCTATAGGAAGAAGACCATTCCCCCTTGCAGTTTTCTTTAAAAACAAGATGATCAAGGAAATATTTTTGTTTACATATCTATTATGTGGGTTGTGAATATTGTTATTCATTCCAATGTTTGCAGACAATAACGACATACTTGGGTTTATCATCTTTGATAATAAGAAGTGGTTTAAAATTGCACAAAGGCAGCCTAATCGTCATCATAATGTAAATATTACTGCTTTGTATAATATTTCTTTGCATAAAGGAACAAGTAATGGATATCTTATAATTCAAAGCTATCAATACAATTTTATGATTTAGTGATTTCTATTGTGCCTTGAGTTGGAAAATTAGCTGCCTAAATTGAAAATATACTTTTTCGCACTTGTAGTCATATGAGACATGTATTGATGTATTGCTTTGTATGTTGTAATTTAACAGTTGATTGAGTTGTGTTGTTTGATGTCTTATTCACCTTCTGGTGTCTTGTAGTATGAAGGTCATTATCTGGTCTGTTAAATGATTTGGAAACCCCAAGATTTATTGGCAAGCTCCTAACTAAATTCAAGGTTTTTCTTTTAGAGAGTAGAGATTGATTGGTTGATTGCATTTGAGAGCTTAATGAAAAAGATTATCTTAACAAAGAGAAAAATTTGTTCTATAAAATCCAAGTTGACAGTCAAACATAATTTGCAGCTTTTTAATTAGGAAAACCAAACCTTAAAATTGCTGGTGGTGAAAACGATGGGATAAAAGTGGATGCATGTTTTATGGGAATGTGTATTTTATTGTGAAACTTAATGCAAAGTTAGTAGGTATGAAAAGTATGATATCAGTGAAATTTGAAGTTTGATTGAAAGATTGATCGGCTAAGGTGGAATGAAGGAAAGAAAGGTTGGAGACATGACAGTCTAACTTATATGAAGATGAAGGAGTGGGACTATCGAATGAAACACATGAAGACTGTGATGTGACTGGCATAGAAAGATTGAGGATCAGACAGACAGAGACCTGCCTGCCTCGCCTGCCTGGTGAGTGTAGGTATTCCCCCCTCCGTACCACCGCCGTCTGGTTTAGTATGCGGCGTAGCTAAGCGGGAATCGCGTTACGGGCTTCAGATACGCTCCAAGCGGAACGATGGCGTTTTGAGCTACGTTGTAATAGGAACCTTTAGTAGGAGTGAAATGTCAAAACATACTCTCAATATAGCAAGAGAAGTAGGCTGTTTGTGCTCAAAGGGGTGGTACAGAATAACCAGAATTTATGTCAGGCCTATATTGGAGTTGATAGAGTGTCTAGTTGTTAATTTCTCTGAATGTTTCTTTTTACCACGTCAATCGCATGTCACATTCTAGTGTGAAAATTCTCTAGGAATTTACAAGACAATGAACACGTCATGTACCCATAGATAATATTTAATATCACACCCTCTCTCTTTTTATGTTGTTTTTTTCATGTAAAAGAATGGATCTTTCCTGAAAGTAGACTATCTTGTAGGTCTTTTATTGTATGTCTGATGCGCTTTATATCACACCCACTCAATCAGCCAATTGAAATGAAAACCCTGTTTGGGGTTGCCCTTCCTACTTTCTCTTCCTTCTCTCTCTCTTCTGTTTCTCTCTCACTCCGTCTCCCAGTTGAGCGTGTAGCTACATGGTAGGTCTAGGGGGAAACTAGAGGGCATAGGACGGGGTGGAGATCCTGCCCGGCTGCTGCTGATGTCGTAGCTGCTACTGCTGTCCGCTGTCCGTCTAGCTAGCTTGTTAGCTAGGCTGGCTGGCTGGCTGGCTGGTTGGCTGACTGCGCTCCACTACTCCGGCTTAGATTACGGGTAGCTGGCCATCAGGCTTGAGCTCAGCGGGAACTCTGCTCTTGTGGAAATGACATGCTGTGAGCGCAGGGTTAGGTGTCAGGGGGGGGGGGGGTGGGGCGCTGACTGCTACCTCTAGTCTGCTACCTCAGGCGTCCTGTCTCTATACATGTCAGATGAAGAGACCTGTTATCATTGCAAACCAGATTAATAATAGGAGGACATTATAATCTCTTCACCTATTGGGAGAGGATTATCTCTTGCTTTGATCATAGTCCCGTATATTTATATCGGTATGAATAACACCACTCTGGAAAGAATGGACTTTGCCCGGAATATAATTATGAATCTCTCTGCAGGCATGTAGCTCTCAATGTCATGTTCAAATCAGTGGCCGGCCCGGCCAGCGTTAACAAATGGCATATCAGTATTTTGAGATTTATGGCACGTATTATGCCACTAATGACAAACAGCTTCATCTAATCTTGCTCACAAATTACACTCTCTAGAATGATGGGGGTATAGCGAGAGACCAACTCGATGATCACTCCTCGTCCACATAATTTCATTTTCCTGTGAAAACAAAGACCAAATGTCAGCATTAAGGCGCCCTTTTTCTTCTTGTTGATAGGAAAGCACTGGTAATTCTATCCCGTCTTAATTAATGCGCATAAAAGTCCTTGAGAGGGGCGCAGAATGCCCCCCTGCTGACAGAGTGCGAATTAGTGTACTTCTGGAAAGGTTAAACTAACAGCGTTGGCAATGGCCGAGTGGACCCTAGTAAATCCACCAGTATGTCATTAGCTCTCTTTCTTCTGATTAACTCGGCAGTGACCATCCCACCTACCCCTCCAATCCTTTACCCTCCCAAACTAACCCTCTTCTAAAACAATCCTACCAAGACAATTCTTATGTCTATCGGAATTATAATTCCATCGGGCGATTTGAATTTTGAGCTGATTTGTTGATTGGATGTTGGACCGCGCCTCCTAGCACCTTTAGAACAGTGGTATCTGATCTCTCATCACCCTGGCCTGGTCTGGTCTTGGGTTTAGAGAGAGCTAGGGACCCGCCCGCCCGCCTTTCAACCAACACACATGGTGCAGGCACAGAGAGGCTTAGCTGACCTCATTTCAAGCTCTTCGCATGCCTACAAGGCATTGCAAAAGAAATTCCACTAAACCCTCTTGTCTTCCTCTCTCCTTTCTCCCATTCTCCAATTCCCTTTCTTTTCTCTCGCTCTTTTCTCTCGCTCTTTCCTATACTCTCACTCATACCTCCATTAAATCACCCTACTCGGTTTACACTTCTGCTGGACATTTTCTTCCAGATCATTTTTTTTTCCGGATCTCTTTTCTTGCATTGATTTGCATGGCTTAAGTGCTTAGAGTTGGGCTTGTATTACTCACGCATTACAAAGTCTTTATGTTTGTTCTTTGATGTAGATGAGAAAATGATGGATAGGGCCTTGAACAACAGTTCTTTTTTGTTTTCCTTTTTGCTTTCATTCTCTCCTTTCAGAATCAGGCTTTGGAATATAATTGTTCATTAGCAAATATTTGCTAAGCTTTTCAAGAGGAAAGTTGACATATTTTTTTTCAATTTTGTTCATATATATTGAGAGCTGGAATAAGGTATAGTCAAGCCTGTAGACCAGTGGTATTATAAACACAGAAGTGCAGTAAAATGTTATCAAGATTTCTTTTGTTTACTCTCTTTATATAGATTTACTCTCTATGTTTAACCCGAAGTGGTCTGATTTGCATTTGAGGAAGGAGTTGCTTAAATCCTTTACTTTGACAATGGATGTAAAATTAGGCAATGTCACAACAAAAATGTCACTCAGAAAATGTATTTGATTCAATGTGAATGTTAGGCCTTCTTCACTTGTAGTTAATGTGTACTTTTGTGCAATTCTTGTTTTTTAGAGTTCCAATTGCACTTGCTCGTCTGTTTGCATTCCTTTATCATTTATATAAAGGGTTTTAAGGTTGACTGGATTTTAAGCTTTATTTTTTCTTGCAGCATTGTGATGTGCTTGCCTGTCATCTTAAAAAAGCTCGATTTGTCGCAATCATAGGATTTGATAAGTAAACATAAATTCCTTATTGTTTAACCCTGAAGGTCTTTGGAACTGATTAAAAAACTAATATTATACCAGAGTACCCTACAATGGGCTACATGAAAACAGTTATAGAAAATAAATACTGTGAAAATGGGTTTTAAAAAGAGATAGATCAAGCATATCACTGACGATGCTCAAGACAGTGGGTGTAAGAATTATACTACCCTGCAATTTTGTAGATAAATTGTCTTTTTCACACCTGTGGGGTGTGGAATATAATATGAGTATGTTCAGATCTCAAAAACCTCAAATTACAAGCTATCTCCTAGAATGGATGGAGGAAAGAGAGTGGAATCATGGACCTATCCATGGTGGAATGAATATGGGAAAGAAAACAAGATGGAGTCCCCAGCTGAGCATTCCAAGCGATCATCAGGTCTGTGAGATCATCGGGTCTGTGAGCTGAGAAACACACACACAGTCAGGTAGTTCATGTCATGGGAGAATGAGATCTAAACAAGTCCATTACATGTTTGCTGTCAGTTAGATCAACACCATGCAGTGATCTCACACATCACAAATATCAGGTTTTGATCAGAGTATTCACTCACTTTGCCTGACTTTCAATGGCCTCATCTAGAAGAAGATGTTCATTGTTTTCTTTCCATTTGACCAGGCCTTGCCTACATGTACAGATGAGTGTGGGAACTCTTCATGATACAGGCCTATATTTAAATGGACTAGCATTCAAGAAATTGTATGACTGTAAGACCAGCAACTTTCGCAACATGAAACTTTGCTGATTTTCACAGTAAGAAACTTTTATGAAATGCAAAAATTCAACTTGTGTCGGCTTTTATTCATGAAGTTTTGTGGCATGAAACTTTTGTGAAACTA